TTTTTTCTTAAGCAAATATCACATACTGTACACGCTGCTCTGCACCCGAGTCTTTTTTCAATTAAATGTATGTCTTGAACCGGTCCAAGAGCAGGACGACTTGCAAAATGAAGAGTGATTTAAAACTTTCTTTGGCTAGGATTTAAAATACTTCCAGCTTTTTGCCAATATAAGCAGAAGGCCCAACTATGAGAATTAAAAGATGCATTTCTGGCCCTTTCCACGAATTGGCTGTTCCTTTCTAAACAAAGGGAAGTGTCTTTCCTGTGTTTTTAATGCAATTCCTCAGGATAGTGAAGCCTGAGGCTCCGGACTGCTGCGCCCGAAGAAGCCCTTTCCTCAGCAGTGTGGGTGGCCCTTGCTGAAGGACCAAAGCATGAGTGGAATCACTGACCTGTTTGAAAGCGGAGGCTCCTTTTCTGTCCGTGGGAGATCCCCGGGCCTCCCCAGATAGGAAGCAGTTGTGCAGACCACTCCTTTCAGGCCCAAAGTACGTGTGACCCAGACGTTTCCTTATTTCTTAGGCAGGCCTCACTGATTCTGCCCTGCAACTCTTCAAAGGCTCATCATACTTTCCTCTAACCTAGGGTGACAGTAGCCTGGGCTCCACATGGCAGCAGAAAAGGGAGCTGGTTGAGAAGACCTCCTGGGCCCTTAGGGAAATCCCAGATTCAGGGCTAGTTGTCAAAAGACAAAATTTCAACAAATTTAGTTAAATGATCTAATTGGCATTTATTTGTGACTCGTAAATTGGGAGCATCTGATCCAAAGATTTAGCAAAGAAGAGCTGAGCAGAGGAGGTTGGCTTTATAGGCAGAAAAGGGCCGAAGAAAGCAGAAACAGGGAAGGAAGATTGGTCATTTCAAAGTTACTTTCCGAATAAGGGTTAAAGCAGAGGGAACTTCCTTATCACGCTGAAACTGGCCTGTTTGGGGATTTGCAATTATCTCTCTCTCTCCTGATTTCTAGGAAGATCAGATAACTTTTTAGTTTGGTGATGTGGAACTTGGGCATAAGTGACTCTATTTTGACTTGCTCTGTAGAAGTCTACAGGAGCCCAGTCCAAAACAATGGCCTCCTCTCATAACAAGGCCTGGCTCTCTGACCCTGCATTTCCCTCTCACCTTCCACCAAGGATCATACTTTGGAAGATCCTGGCCCAATTGGGTGGTGCAGGCCCAGCACCCTACTATTTCTCCATATTCTCCATAAAGTCCTGAAATATTCTGACCAACAGGCATGGACTCTTTTCAAGGTCCACAGAGCTCTAAGGGATTTACTCCATCCTCTTCCTCCCCCACTGCCCCAGGTTACTGGTGTCTGCTTAGAAAGGAGCTAGTAGAATGGGTGACCTAGGGCTGCTAGACTGGTTAGTCTGAGACAAGGGTTGATTGCAGCTATTTGGCTGTAGTTTTTCTATCCCATGCCATAAACAAGCCCCAGTGAAACTGTGTGTACTGGTTATTTACATTTTTGCTCTCAGATCCATTCCCTGCCCTACTCTGCACTCTGTGCATTGCAAGGAAATGCATTTTCCAAGCTTCCATCTCATACGAAGTGAAAGCCAAGAAAAAGGGACCGGCTGTTCAGGACTTGGTCCTCAGGGGTCCTGGTCGGAACCGAGGACTTCACTGAGTAACCAAATCCGGCTCCCAATGTGTCAAGTGTCTTCCGCGTGTCAGAAAAGACTCGACACAGAAACTGACGGGGCGGAACGGCGGCACAGGTGCCTGGCGGCCCTCAGGTCTCACCGCTCTCGAGGGACCCAGTCACCGACAGCCGCTGCCGCCAGGGGCGCCCTCGTCCGCCTCTTGCGCGCGCGTTGCAGAGCCACTGGGCGACTCCGGTCCGCGCCTTGGTCCTTCCCACTCCCCTCGGACCCTGGAGTCCCGGATCTCATTGCTATCTTGGTAGATTCTTCTACAGAATTGAAACAGAGTCAACAACAACCACAAAAAAAAAAAGCAAAAACTAGACCCGTGCTGTTTCCGCCCGGTTTCGAACCGGGGACCTTTCGCGTGTGAGGCGAACGTGATAACCACTACACTACGGAAACGAGCTGGTAGCAGATTTCTCGAAAACCCTTCTTGAAACGTAGAGGTTCTTCACCGTGTCCCTGACGAACGAGAAGAGTTTCAGGGCTGGCGGACCACACAGCCCCGGCCTCCCCCATGCGCCGGGAAACAGCCAGTCGGCCCAAGTCAGGCCGGGGCTGCTCGCGGGGAATCGTGACACACCGCGAACTCCATGGTGCCTCTTCAGGAAACTTCTGGCACAATTAGGGCTCCAGTCAGGATTCCGAGGCAGTGGAGCAGGGCCCCAGGCTTCCTCAAAGGCTCGTCGCGGAGTTTCTCCGATCCTGCGGGTTCCTAAGGAGCGACCGCGGGGAGCACGGACGCCCGGGGCTAGGGCACCTGCTGGCACTTAGCGCGTGCGGCCTGGCGGGACTGCAGCAAAGTGGAGCAGCGGGAGAGACCGGACTTGGCCATGCTGAGGCCGGCTCGTATTTGAAACAGCATGAAAATACACCTTACTGCTGTCCAGCACTTTTTAACCCAGAAGGCATTTTCACGCTCTCTCGCACTTACTTTTTACAGCAGTGCTATGAGCAAAGTATGAAACGCTGTTTCAAAGGGACTGAAGCTTAAGTAAATTTGACTTTCGTAAGACGGAACTGCCGCCACTTAACGTCAAGGAACGGTCTGCAACCTTGAAGTTCTCAGGTGGCGTCTCGCTTATCTGGACTACACCCTATTGTATGAAGAAGCAAATGAAGAGGAAAGAGAGAGCGAAGAGTGTGCCTGGACGGGTTCAAGATACCTTTGTGGATGATCTGCAGAACCCCAAAATACCCTGTGTAGAATGACAGTCGAGGTCGAATGACTCTTCTTCTCCACGGGGTTAGGGGTGAAATTATCTGAAGAGGTAGAGAGTGGAGACAGTTTGGAGATGTCATGTGAGAAAGGCATTAGGGGATTATTAATAATTAAGAAGAGAAGGGCGAAAGAAGTACCAAAGCATCCCTGAAGACTTACATGCTGTTGTATGATACAAACGTGCAGGGGCTGGAATGGCACAGCGTTCGCTGACTGCTTCGGGAGCTCAGATCCGGCAGGAGCCTAGAGGAGAAGGCGGGTAGTGGGATGAATAAGCAAAGGAGGAGCGTTAAGGAGTCGGGAGTGGTAGTGAGAGAGCACCAGGGAAGTAGCTGGCTATGGGTTGACGCTGTGTAGAATGTGAAAAGGCATCCGAAACGTCCAATGGCCTGAGTGCTAGGCAGATAGGAGAGAGTTTATCAGGTTAAGCCACTTCAGCAGAAAATTCATTGATATTGCCTTAAATAATAAACGGAAAATATTGCCTCGCAGTCCTAGGTAGATCTGGGCTTCAGGCAAGTCTTTATACAAGGCTGAAAAAAATTCTCTGAATTCTCTTGGTCCTTCTTCCTCAATGCAGACTCCATTCGCAGGCAGATTATCTACTCTACTCTTTCTCAAAATGCCCACCATCAGCAACTTAGGCCACAGGCTGCCTTGTTCACAGCCAGCAGGCAAAAGTTCATTTCTTGCAGAACTCATTATTGAACAGCAACTGTGCTGTGTGTAAAAGAATGGGATATGCTGCTTCGTTTAAGCCAATTAAGGCCAACTCTTGAAGTTCAGGGTAAAATTAATCCCACTCAAATTCAAAGGCTCATAAATTTTGGGTATCTCTAAGAAGGGAAAAGGAGGTGGGAATGCTGAGGTGGCAACCAACAAACGTTCTCTACAGAGGGTAAGACCATACATAGTGCAACAGAGAATAAAGAAGAACAGCTATACTTCTAGAAACTGGGGTCATTGTTCGGAAAAGTGGGGTCATTGTTCGGAAAAGTTCTACTCTAAAGGCTTCCCTGTTAAGGCAGTTCTCCACTGAGTAGTAGCCACTATGCCAGGTCAGATGAGACCTACGGTAGCCCAGCACACAGGGACCCTCCCATCATACTTCAAGGGGCCACTTTCTTC